AGAGAGAGAGAGAGAGAGGGGAGAGAGAGAGAGAGAGGAGAGAGAGAAGAGGAGAGAGGAGAGAGAGAGAGTAGAGCGAGAGGAGAGAGGAGAGAGAGAGAGAGAGAGAGAAGAGAGAGAGAGCGAGAGAGAGAGAAGAGAGAGAGAGAGAGAGAGAAGAGAGAGAGAGAGAGAGAGAGAGAGAGAAGAGAGATAGAAGAGAGAGAGAAGAGAGAGAGAGAGAGAGAGAGAGAGAGAAGAGAAGAGAGAGAAGAGAGAGAGAGAGAGAGAGCGAAGAGAGAGAGAGAGAGAGAGAGAGAGAGAGAGAGAGAGAGAGAAGAGAGAGAGAGAGAGAGAGACGAGAGAGAGGAGAGACGAGAGAGAGGAGAGAGAGAGAGAGAGAGAGAGAGAGAGAGAGGAGAGAGAGAGAGAAGATTTACATGCATCCCCGAGCTCCACACTGCACTTTTTCTGCTAATGTGCCCTACATTGGGGCGTAGCTTCAACGCCCAGGCTTACACTGGTCCGATGGGTCCATTTCTGACCAAGGACAGGCATGACCACCCACACAGCACATCCACTGTCCGGTAACGCCCGAGGTCTTGAAGTCCACGGCAATGACGGCTAAGTGGAGCGGCCGCCCGATGGGAAGTGAGCACCGGATCAGATCACACGATCAGACACCAGTGCAATCGTAAGGTTGGCTATTTCGTAGTCCGGTCCTGCGCTATCTCCGGCCGTGCGGTCGAATCTGAATCTGAGCTTGAATCGGGCCCACCTTTGCGCATCATGCTGGTCAGATTTTTAGCTGACGCATCTGCGGTGGGGAAAATATTCACTCCTGATGGTGATGACAACGATCGTCGTGCTGCTGCTGCTGCTGCTGCTGCCGCTGCTGCTGCCGCTGCCATTATCTAACTGATGATGATTAGGCTTCGACATAGGCAGTGGCGATGACGACTATGGGTGATTGTGAGATTGTAATGGCGACGATGCAGAGTTAGTTCCTGCTTGCTGACCGCTTGGTTACGTGGGCCTCTCTCTGACAGCTCGGTCACGTGGGCCTCTGACCGTTTGGTCACGTGAGCCTCTGACCGCTTGGTCACGTGGGCCTCTCTCTGACAGCTTGGTTACGTGGGTCTCTGACCGCTTAGTCACGTGGGCCTCTGACCGCTTGGTCACGTGGGCCTCTCTCTGACAGCTTGGTCACGTGGGTCTCTGACCGCTTAGTCACGTGGGCCTCTGACCGCTTGGTCACGTGGGCCTCTGACCGATTGGTCACGTGAGCCTCTGACCGCTTGGTCACGTGGGCCTCTCCCTGACAGCTTGGTCACGTGGGTCTCTGACCGTTTGGTCACGTGAGCCTCTGACCGCTTGGTCACGTGGGCCTCTCTCTGACAGCTTGGTCACGTGGGTCTCTGACCGCTTAGTCACGTGGGCCTCTGACCGCTTGGTCACGTGGGCCTCTCCCTGACAGCTTGGTCACGTGGGTCTGTGACCGCTTAGTTACGTGGGCCTCTGACCGCTTGGTCACGTGGGCCTCTCTCTGACAGCTTGGTCACGTGGGTCTCTGACCACTTAGTTACGCGGGCCTCTGACCGCTTGGTCACGTGGGCCTCTCTCTGACAGCTTGGTCACGCGGGTCTTTGACCGCTTAGTTACGTGGGCCTCTGACCGCTTGGTCACGTGGGCCTCTCTCTGACAGCTTGGTCACGTGGGTCTTTGACCGCTTAGTTACGTGGGCCTCTGACCGCTTGGTCACGTGGGCCTCTCTCTGACAGCTTGGTCACGTGGGTCTCTGACCACTTAGTTACGTGGGCCTCTGACCGCTTGGTCACGTGGGCCTCTCTCTGACAGCTTGGTCACGTGGGTCTTTGACCGCTTAGTTACGTGGGCCTCTGACCGCTTGGTCACGTGGGCCTCTCTCTGACCTCTTGATCACGCGGGTCTCTGACCGCTTAGTCACGTGGTCCTCTGACTGTTTGGTCACGTGGGCCTCTGACCACTGAGATACGTGAGCCTCTGACCGCCTAGCCACGTGGGCCTCTGCCCGGCAGTCTGGTCGAGATCACAGCATTAGCTATAGACTGATATGACCATGCGAACCAGTGTGACAGATCGCTAAAGCAACCAGATCGCTCGATTCCACCCGAACAGGATCTTGTGCGTGAGTCACACATTCGTATTACGTGCTCAGCTGCAGTGCCCCAGTGTTCATGATTGGGTCTTTAAACTCAAACTTCCTTTTATTGACCCTAGATCATTTCCGGGAAACTCCCACCGGTGTCTGCATGGGTGGTAACCCCCGCCGCCCCGAGACCGCTTCTGGCTGTGACGGCGGCACAGACGCGCGGCCCGAACAGTGCGCCGGGGGTTACCACCGGCGCACTGCGGTGGTAACCCCCGGCGGCTCGAGACCGTTCCTGGCTGTGACGGCGGCACAGACGCGCGGCCCGAGCAGTGCGCCGACTCCGCTGAGAGGCTTGGCCAGCCGCTGGAAATTGATGGCAACAGAATCCAGCGCGGCTGACGGCGGCCCAACCGAACTGCGGCGCAGATTGAGACCGCTCGCAGCACGCGCTGGTCCCGCCGTCGCGGGCGACCGGGCTCTCCGGGAAGCGCTGATAGAGAGTAATCTCGGCCCCGGCCGCTCTCGGCGTGATCCGGTGAGCAGCCGGACTGGCCGGGTTTGGCTCGCGGCCTGCCTCTCCGCCCGAGAGGCGTCACCTCCGGACCTGGCGGCAGCAGGCCACGGTCGGCCTCTCCGCCCGAGAGGCGTCACCTCCGGACCAGGCGGCGGCAGTCCACGGTCTGCCTCTCCGCCCGAGAGGCGTCACCTCCGGACCAGGCGGCGGTAGGCCACGGTCGGCCACTCCGCCCGAGCGAGAGGCGTCACCTCCGGACCAGGCGGCGGCAGGCCACGGTCGGCCGCTCCGCCCGAGAGGCGTCACCTCCGGACCAGGCGGCAGCAGGCCACGGTCGGCCGCTCCGCCCGAGAGGCGTCACCTCCGGACCAGGCGGCAGCAGGCCACGGCCGGCCGCTCCGCCCGAGCGAGAGGCGTCACCTCCGGACCTGGCGGCGGTAGGCCACGGTCGGCCGCTCCGCCCGAGAGGCGTCACCTCCGGACCAGGCGGCGGCAGGCCACGGTCGGCCGCTCCGCCCGAGAGGCGTCATCTCCTGACCAGGCGGTGGCAGGTCACCGGTGGGCCGAGATGGCAGGTGGCCAGGCGGATGGAAGGTGCAGTATCGGTAAAGCGACTCGCGAACATTGACGTGCGCGTAGGTGGAGACCGGAGTCTTGGAGCTGTAGGCTTGGGAATTGGTATGCAGGTTGCATTCTGCCAGCGGTTTATTAACTCATTATATATATATATATATATATATATATATATATATATATATATATAACCAAACAAAGTAGGACGCCACAAAAATGCGCTGAAACTGAAAGATGTACCT